GAGCAGTGTGATCAGACTAAGACATAGGGTCTGTCTAAGACCAGCTTTTAAAATTTTAATTTGTTATATATATGACAGCAGAATGCATTACAATTCATATTATACATATAAAGCACAAGTTTTCATATCTCTGATCGTATACAAAGTATATTCACACCATTTGTGTCTTCATACATGTTCTTAGGGTAATGATGTCCGTCTCATTCCACCCTCATTTCTACCCCCTTGCCCTCTCCGTTCCCCTTACCCCTATGCCTTATCTAGAGTTCGTCTAATCTTCCCATGCACCCCCTCCCAACCCCACTATGAATCAGCCTCCTTATATCAGAGAAAACATTCAGCATTTGGTTTTTTGGGATTGGCTAACTTCACTTAGCATTATATTCTCCAGTTCCATCCATTTACCTGCAAATGCCATGATTTTATTCTTTTTCATTGCTAGACAGACAAGCTTTATAGTATCAAAAGTAGAGATTACCCCTGCTTCCAGCAGGAGGATGTGATTAGTGTATTTCAGTGATTTCCTAGCTAGCAGGGGAACTGAAATGCAAGGCCTTTCAGAAGTCCTCACAGTTTCACCAGACATCAAGGCAGTATGTAATACCTTCATTTTAGGCCTTAAACTGTAACAAAACACAAGAGAATGGGAGAAAATATTTGCAAATCATACATCTGATAAGGGCCTAATATTAAGAATACATAAAGATGCCTAACCACTCATCAGCAAAAAAGAGACAAACCAATTAAAAAATGGACAGAAGATTTGAACAGAGATTCCTCCAAAGAAGATATCTGAACATCCAGTAAGCATGTGAAAAGCTACAAACATCATTATTCAATAATATAAATAAAAACCAAACAAAAGATACCGCATCACATCTGGAAATACAAAATGGTGCAACTGCTAGGAAAACAGTTTAATGATTCCTCAAAAAGTTAAATACAGAATTGCTATATGACTCAGCAATTTCATTAGTAGGCATATACTCAAAAGAATTGAAAATAGGTACTCAAACAACTGTATGTAAACATTCATAGCAACAGCTATAGTATTCACAATAGTCAAAAGGTGGAAATAACCCAATGTCCATCAAGAGATGAATGAATAAACAAATGTATACACATTGAATGGAAGATTATTTGACTATAAAAATGAATGAAGTACTGATTAGGCTACAATATGGATGCATCTTGAAAACATTATATACTAACTGAAAGAAGCCAGAAACAAAAAGGCCACATATTGTATGATTCCATGTATACAAAATATCTAGAATAGGAAAATACAGAGAGTCAGAAAGCAGAATGGTGGTTGCCAGGGGCTGATGGAAGGCTAGGGATTAGGGAGTAACTGCTTAATGGATACAGGGTTTTCCTTTGGAGCGATAAAATTGTTTTAGAATTAGACAGAGGTTGCACAATACTGTGAAAGTACTAAATGCCACTAAATTATATACTTTAAAATCTTTAATTTTACGTTATGTGAATCTTGTCTCCACTTTTAAAAAATGAAAGACAAGAAATTCAGGTCCTCAGTTTTATTTGTTTTTGAAACTGAAAAGAACACTGGGCTCAAAATCAATCAAACACTGAAAAAGGCACTGATTTAAACTATACATGTGCTTCTTAGCTGAGAGCCTTGGTAGACCAGATACGGATTTATTCCTTAATCTCTCAGAAGACTGGCTCCCACCCCCTTTTGTGGATACCAAAATCTGAGATTTTCAAGTCTCTTTATAAAATGGCATTGTATTTGCATATATAATATGCACAACCTTCTATATACTTTAAATAATCTCCAAATTATTTATAATACCTAATGCAATGTTACTGCTATATAAATAGTTGCTATATGGTATTATTTAGTACAGACATATTTCTCCGTGGCTTATTTCTAGCCTAATTTTGGTGGAATTCCTGGATGCAGAATCCACAGATACCAAGGGTGGACCGTAGTACTCATTTCCTCCATACGTGTCTACCATTCCTCTTTCCACCCCTCCACTTTCCTTCTAACTAGCACTTTCCTAAGTATGCTTAAATATTTCATTTCTTTATGCCATGAACAAAACATTCTTTCAATCTAAAATGTAATTCTTAACCCTAACTGCACAGTAGAATCACTTCAGGTTTTTAAAAAATACCTAAAATCCCTATATTGGATCACAATTTCTGGGGAAAGGCCAGGAATCTGGGGATCAGATCATGTTTAGAAGCTTCCCAGATGATTTTAATGTGCAGCCAGTAATGAGAATAAGGTCTTAGGTTATTCTATATCCCCTTTCCTTTTAGCCTAGTGTGGTATTTTCTAAATTCCAGTTATTCACACACCAGCATAAATCTAGAAATTTGGTGTTTTTCTAGAAATTTAGCCATTAATTTTAAATACCTGTCTATTTTCTCTAGTGTTGTTCTTTTTTTCATTCTCATACTGGTCATTTTGCCTTGTCTCTTCAGTTTCTAAATTAACCCTATTAAAGGACTTATCAATCTAGTTGATTTTAGGTCTAGAACTTTTGCCTTTACTATTTTCCCCATTGCATAATTATTCATTTAATTTCCAGTTTCATCTTTATTATTTGCTTCCTTTTACTTTTCAAGCGCTACTTTGACTGTTCTTGTGTGGCTTCAGATAGAGAATTAAATGATCTACACCTTACAACTTTGACATGCTGTATTCTCATTGTCATTCAGTTTAAAATTTCCTTTTATTTGAAATGTTTTGAGACCCAGAATAACCATTTTTGGCATATGTGCCATGTGTGCCAGGAAAATACATCCTAAAACCTTCTGTTGCAATATTCTTTATACATGCTTAGGTCTACTTTAGTAATTGTACTGTTCAAATTTTTAAAATATTAATTTTTGCCTGCTTCTTTCTAATAATAGTTAATGAAAGAAAATTTAAAGTCCTCTACCATTAGATTTCCTTGTAGTTGTGAATTTTTGACTATAATTGAAGTTATATTTTTAGACAGATAAATATACATATTTAGAATTGACTGTATTGTCATAAAATGCCCCACATTATTTAAATTCCTTAAATTTTACTTTGTCTAATATTTGTATAATTATATTAGCTCTCATTTGGATAATATTTCTTTCAATATTTCTGGTTTAATTAAAGTACTCTTGAAAGCAGGATGAGTTTACTTTTTTATTTAGTGTGACAACATTTTTAAGAATATCAATATCATTTACATTTAAGGTAATTACATGATAAATTTGGGTTTATAACTGCAAATTTACTATTTGTTTTCCATTTATATCACAGAAACAGAAATAATGTTTTTTTAATTTAATGTTCACTTTTTTTTCTTTTCTTGCCTTCCATTAATAAATCAAGTATCAATTTATCTCCTTTACAAAATTTCACTTGCACAAAACAACTCTTTTAGTGATTATGAGATTATAACATGCATCCTTGATTTATGAGAGTATAACAAATTACTATCTTTGCCACTGTCTAAGGAAAGCTAGAATATTAGAGTACTTTAATTCCATTTTACTCCATCTTATCTTTTGTCTTAGAGTCATGCATTATAATGATTCTACATACATTTTGTGTGTGGGTGTCTTATATTCAATAAGACATTACTAATTTGTTTCATACTCAAAATTAATTTCAATATACTTGTATTTATACTTTTTGATGCTTTGTTCCTTCTTGCATGTCCATTTTTCTGGTTTTTCGTCAGTATGTTGTTTAGTCTACACTGTGTATAGAATTATAAGTTGGCAATGATTTTCTTTTAATACTTTAAAATGTCATTGTATCACCTTTGTACTTTAACTTATTTCTTCTGAGAATGTAGCTATTGGTCTTATTATAAACCTTTTGGTACTACCATGTCTTTTTCTCTTTAGTTGTTTTTAATATTTTCATTTTGTATTGTGTTTTCAGCTGTTTAATATTCCTATGTATGTTTTCTTGATCGTTATTATGTTTTATATTTAGTGTTTTTTGAAAACTGATTTTTGTAAACTGATTTCTTTGGTTAAATTTGAAATATTCTCAATAATTATCTCTTGAATTACTGTGTTTACCTGGTGCTCTTTCCACCCTCCCTATGACCACAAATACACATATATTAGACATTTCTATTGAATCCTACATGTCTTGCACTTTATATTCCATCTTTTTTGCTCTTTGTGCTTTGGTCAGAATACAGATGTTCCTTGACTTACAATGATGTTACCTTCCAACAAATACATCATAAATTAAAAATACCTCAAATTGAAAATGCATTTAATACACCTACCAAACATCATAGCTTAGTAATACAGAACACTGTAGAGTATCAGCTGTTACCCTCTTAATCTTGTGGCTGCCTGGCAGCCACAGCTCACTGCTGCTGCCCAGCTCACACAAGAGAGTATCACACTTATCACACTGCATATTTCTAGCATGGGAACACATTAGGAATTAAAAATTCTAAACACAGATTCTATTGCATGAATATTGCTTTTTACACCATTGTAAAGTCAAAAAATTATCAGTTGAATTATTGTAAATCAGGCACTCTTCATATTTTTTTACTGCCCTATCTTCCAGTTACTGATCTACTTTTCAGTTATGTTCAATGTGCTGCTAAGCCTTTTATCTTTTTCCTACTTGTCTCTCTGACAAATCTTTTAATCATTTCACTTATTGAGTGACAGGCAACAGGTATTGTGAATATTTACACAGCATAAGAGATTGACCCTCAACAAAAGTAAAGCAAATGAGTCAGTTTTGCTAACATCAGCAATTTTTTGAAGTATAGGACTTGAACCACTAGAATCTAAATGAATAACTGTATTATATTTAAAAGAAATGGAGTCTACACCCATACCACCCTGCATGTGTCCGATCTCATCTGATCTTGGAAGCTAAAAGAAAGGAGCACTTAACCAAATTTATATAAAAATTGCCAGATTTAGGTCACATTTTATATTTTTAATATACCCCATGTTTCATCTAGGCTTCATTTTAAAAACATGAAAAAAAAGACACTTACTCTCTCTCCTTTTCAGTCAGCTTGTCATTGATATTATCTTTGATTGTTGATCTAGACCCCTTATGAATTATAGGATATCTGAGGGGCACTTGTAGGAAAAAGGAAATCATGGAGACCAAATGTGCAGTGTAACCAAGGGCAACAGCAATGCTTCCATCATCTTTTGCTGTAAATTCGAAAGCAGAGGAAAAGAAAACAACCATTTACCTTATAAATGTAGCTATGAGATAATAATAAATGTAGCTATGAGATAATAATAAATTAATTTCAAAGGAGATTTATAAAAATAAATTACAAATAAGACTTAATCACTTATCTAATTATATAAATTTTATACAAATCTAAACACATTTTAGACTTGAAACTTTATCTACTATCTATATTTAAAAGTATTTCTCACTAATTAAATGATCATATTTACAGACATATACCTTAAGCAAGAGTTCTTAGTGTATCCAAATACCTATTATTTCCTTTCTGAGCATTTTTAAAAGGGGAATTAATGCTTGAAACTATTACATAATGTGAAAATTAGTTTCAGAGGTTTAACACTATATAATCATTTTATATATTATTCATTAACAACTTTCTAAGCAATATAGTTATAGTGTTGTGTTATTATGCAACATTGATTCTGAAGTGCAGTAAAACGGCATGGTATATTCCTTATAGGATATGTTTATTTATGTGAGAAAGGGTTACATGAATAAATCTATGATATTTGAGAATGGACTAAAAGAAAAAAAATACTTTATTTATTTATTTTTGGTACCAGGGATTGAACCCATGGATGCTCTACCCTGAGCCACATCTCCAGTCATCTCCAGTTCTTTTTAAGACAGGGCCTTGCTAAGTTGTTTAGGGTCTCACTAAGTTGCTGAGGTTAAGCTTTGAACTTGTAATCCTCTTGCCTCAGCCTTCTGAGTCACTGGTATTACAGGCGTGTGTCTGGCATGATAAAAATATTTTAAACAGCAAAAGTGAAAAGTCAAAAACTTAGTGAGACCCCAAGCAACTTAGTGAGCTCCTGTCTTTAAATAAAATACAAAAAAGGGATGGAGATGTGGCTCAATGGTTAAGTGTCCCTGGGTTCGATCCCCAGTGGGGGAGAGAGGAACCCATACTGTTTATACGCTACCCTATGTATGCAATTTAGGGGGAAGTTATTGCTAAAACATGCTTGTGTCACACAGTTAAACATAAGCATGTAGCTTCTTAAAAAGCATAAATACATTATAAAACTCATTATCCAGATTTCTGCCCCTACCTATCAAGGGATAAATGATGAACTTAGAATAATGCAACAGAAAGTTTTGAACTTCCCCAGAAGGAAGGAAAAAGTAACTGCTTGGTATACAGTATTCCTAAAATAAGTTATAAAATACACACACACACACACACACACACACACACACACACACACACATCCTTGCACATACACTCCTACTAAAAGACTTTACATTAATCTGGACTGGCCCAGCTGTCTAGAGAAGATGGGCTAAAATGATTGAGATGACCATGGGTTGACCATTCCCTGAGTTCTAAGGGCACCTTCAACTTCAATTATTAATAATACTTTTCACATCCTTTTGTACTTATATTTAATTATCTAAGCTCTGTTTTTTTATGGTAAGGATGTTACTAAAGCTATCCATTGCTCAGTGAATTCTCTACTCTTGCTACCATAACAGACTGCTGGGTTCTCTTTGATCATCCAATAAAAAACAGGTTACTTTTACAACTATATATTTTTCTTCTGTCCAGAATCAAATGTAGTACCTTTTATTTGAAAATAATTCATTCACCAAGAATTACTAGACTAGATAGCTTTTTAATGCCATTTCATTCATTTTACAGATAAAACAAGGCTCAAAGAGATTAAGGAAACTGTCCAAAGTAACACAGCTAGTAAATCAGTTGGCCTGATGCTAAATCCTCCATCCTTACTACTACTATATCAGTTATACCATCCTGTCTTAGAACTTTAAAGTTAAAAAACTAATATGCCAAAATTTAACTTGGGAGCTTGGGATATGCCAAGCTTATGAAACTCATGTAATTACTTCATACTTTTCTAGTAAGGGCAAAGAATACACAAAAATCTGAGTACCCGATGATCTGTATAGTGCTTGACAGAAAAGGGGTTTCTCAACCCATGTTTGCCATTCTTTCAAAACAAACTCGTGAAAAAAAAAAAAAAATTAACAATATTCATTTGACCACTAAGTCATGTCCTCACTAGCTAGAATTCTATTTTTAGAAACCATGTCCTTTTGCCTCAGTCCCTCCCAAGTACCTTGATTTATATTCAATACTGTGTTTCTATATGTCACACTACCTAAGAAACTAAAATTATGAATTCATCATCCAATAATATCAGAGCTAGGAGAAACCTTAGAAACCACTGAGTCTGACACTATTAACTTAGGAGAAAAATGAGGTCCAGGGGATATGGCTTGGTCAAAGTCATATAGGTAAAAATCACAGTGATGGAAGTGGGAGAATTGCATCCACACCTCAGACTATCTCTGCTCCTAAAATACCTAGGTCTGGTGGCACAGCTGGGACTGTGAGTTCTTTCCCAGGTTGCGGAAACCTGCTTCCTACTTTCTGTAAAGAACAGAGCTTACCAAACTAAAAATATTTCTATGAGTAAAAGGACTTTAAGAATCTTTAAGAATCTTCTTTAGAAGGAAGAGAGGAAGAAGAGGACTTAGAATAATGAAGGATAGTATTATGCAAAATTGGGACTTTTCTATGTGTGCTTTATACGAGGTTTTTCCTTTTCAGCATAACCTGACAGAAATGGATTTGAAAACCTCCAGAAAGCAACAAGAATCCTCTTCATCTGACTTCCACATAGGTCAAAAGAAAACTACGATTGTTTAAAAAAAAAAATCTATCCAGTGCTAAACCCTCAAGCATCTACACTTTTTTCTCCTACTATGAAAGGGACAATGCTAAAGAACCACATTTGCATATTTTGAGACTACATTACACATCTTTCTTAAAAGAACAAAGAAGTGTTCTTTTAAAATTACCTCCCCCAATTAACAAAATAACTTTGCTTAAATTTTTAAAGATAAAATGGCATCTCTAAGAGAAGCCTACACATAGAAATCAAAACCCAAAAGGAAATAGCAAACAATGAAAATGAAATAATATTGGAAATCTGCTTTGATTCAAGTTATTCACACTCACCATTGTTGCCACAAGACTCCCCGCTCCACCTATTAAAAACCCTAGGTTGTTTCCCATTTCAGGCCAGAGTGCTCCATCACAGCCTCACTGTTAAACACTGTGGTGTTGGATTTCCAATATTGAGGCTTTATATTAAAAAGCATTTTAAAAGGACTATGGGTGAAGCATTACAGGACTCAAGGGTATTGCAATACCCTCAAAAGGAAAACCACCTCCTGGTAGGGAAGTCACTTTCATCACCCCAAGACCACTGAGCCTCCTGTGGGAAAATGTGAGCTCATGTGGTTAATTATGGGTATTGCAGGCCATGCAACCTCAGATGTCACATTCTGTTGCCAATCACTTTAGCTAAAAAACCAAAAGGTTTAAGGTTTCCAGCATTCCAAGATCTGAAAGACTTTTTACCTGCCAAAGCCAAAACATGGCCCTCTTGGGTGTACTTTTCCAGTAAGCATTAATGACGTCCGTAACACCTAATGCAGAGCAGAGGTTTGTATTTCTTATATTGCTCTGAGGGTTAGAAAGGTCACAGATGATAGTTTTGTTGGTGAGAAGAAATTGGAGGGGGAATCAAGGTCCGGGGAAGAACAGGAATGAACTGTAAGACTCAGGTATGTGAAAAAGATACTAATTCAGACAATGTTTTAAGGGACTTAAAAACAAAACAAAAGCCCACAGTTTTCCCATAATAAATATTTCTGACTTGTGTTTTAAATATAGGAAGCCACTCAAGGCTGCAGCTGTTGTGTAATTTTTATGACAATAAATCCTACAAACACACAATGGCCATAACATAAATTAGTTGAAATGTTCCTTTGATTTATACGTTGGACAAACTATTAATATTCAAATGCATCCAAGTACAATAAGTGATCTAAAAGCTCTTACCATCCTGCCTTCCCAATCACTGAGGCAGCTGATTTGTTAAGGAATCAAGCACCCACTGATCCAGACAGGACAAAATATTTAAGACTCTAATCACTGCCACAGCATCTATGGAATCAGTCCATGTTCTCAATGAGACACTGTTTGACATATGGACTCTCCTTTCCAAGAAATCATGCCTGCATAAAGGGATACAGACACAGAAGGAAATCTGGGTCTCATTACCACAAAAGGCTCTCGTGTTATGGATTACTTAAAAACACACGCAAAAACATTGTTTTTTTTTTTTTAAGCTAAACGTCTTAGTCAATGGAACTCAGATGAATACCCTTCACAGTTTTCTTCCATTGTGTCCAGTTCTCTTTGTCATACTCTAACAAGAACTTACCCATTTGGAAAAGCTCAATGAATGCTGTGTTGGGCCCCTATGTTGGGAGTTTCCCAAATAGTATCAACCTATGCAGTATAAAGTCTATCCAGGGAAGTCTCATGAATAGCACAGGAGTGACTAGTTTGGAGTTCCTTCACTATAGTGTCTCCCAGTATGCAGCTGCTATAGAATACTAAAAAGTGGTCAGATGCTTAGAAGAGGTTACTATTCAAAGCAAAGAAGGAAATGACACCATGGCAGGAATAATATAGAGCTTAGAATAAGGAACACTAGTGTTAACCTTAGCTTTATCACTGTTAATATGAGTCCTTGTAAAAATCAAACTCTCTGGGCCCCAAGTTCTTGTCTTTAAAAAATATCTAGAGTAATTCCTTTCTTCACAGAGGCATTAATTCTCATAATTATGAGATTAAAGTAATAAATTTGAAGACATCATGCATGATGTCCCAAGTTACAACATTTCTGCTCACCCAACCTAAAATGTCCTCCCATGCTTCTTTCCCCAGGGGAACAGCTATTTCTTAATATAGCTCAGGCATCGTCTTCTCTATAAAGTTTTCTTCATCCTCTCCTGGTAGAATTGATTATTCCTATTTCTTTGAGTCCCAAGTACCTGGTATAACCCTCTAAGTGCCTAATATAGAGTATAGATTCAGTAAATATTTGACTGGTTTGATTACAAATATAATGCTCTCAATAAGACTATTATTCTCATTAACTTTGGATCAATGTCTTAATTTTATTTATTTATTCTCAGCACCTGCGTAGCAGATAAGAAACAGGCACTCAACACATTTACCACATTGAAGTGTCTTGCAGAGTGCTAAAATTAAAATTTTAAAGTCCAGTACTACTATACATGCTTCTTAAAATTTCTGATTCTTAGAAGTTATAGGGAATGAATAGGACCTTAGCATAAAATCAAACTTATTTTTATCTCCCATTTCATTTTTCAGCAACTGCATTAAAAGGTTACATTAATTTTTTAAAGGTTAGGGAGAATGTATATGGGCTTAATTAGGCATTCTAAATGTAGTATAAAAGCTATGAAAAACTAGGAAACAAGGCACTTGAAAGAAAAGGAAAATAGAACCAAGACCCCCACCACCACCAGTAGATTAAAGTTAACAGACCACCACTACTGCTCTTCCACTTCCCTTACTACTTTTACTACTTCTTCAAATAATTCTGTACTTAGCAGTCAGAATGACTGTTACAAGCATTGCTTAGCTCACGTCATTCTCCTTCTTGAAACCTGCAGGTGTTGCCCACTTCATTGAGAATAAAATGGAACTTCTTTAGTGTGACCTCCAGGTCCTGGATGACCCCTCCTTCCAGTGCTAACAGAACTCTTCGCCTTGTTCACTGTGTTCTGGCCACATAAATCTAGATGGTTTGATCTTTCCTTCATTCCTTTCCTTTCTCTCTCCTTTTCAATGAATTCCATTATATTTATTGCATACCTCCTATCTGAGAAGTTCTTTCTAATGTGATCTCATCCCATCATCACAATGGATTAAAAATATAAACATGACCTCATTTTACAGGTAAGGAAATTAAGCTTCGAGATTGCATGATTTACCTAAATGAAAATCTTTTCTCCCATACCTGTGGCCTGGGGTCTTTTTCAAACTTTTTCAGGTATGTCAAACTCATGCCTCCTCCATCATGACTTTTGTACTTAATGCTCTCTATTCTGGGAATACCCCAAGCTGTAGCATAGTGGTTCCTTTTAGTCTTTAAGATTTCTGTTAAATGTTTCTCTTCAGAGAGGTCTTCTCTGATTGCTTTATTTAAAGGGGGTTTCTTCATTCTTTAAGATAATATATCCCTTGATTAAATGCTTATTAATTCCTATTCATTGGTCTGTTTCAATAGGCTGTATGCTCCATGAAAGGAGAGAATATGTTTGCTTTTTCATTATTATATCCTCAAAATTCAGCACAGTGCCTGCCATATAGGTGTTCAACAAATTATTTTTTCAATGAATGAATGAGGAAAATGATGTGCCAACAGCTTCAAGAAGCCACAACTGTGCCCAAAATTAATACCAAAGCACATTTTGTGGGACCTATAGAAATCTGAAGGCAACAATGGCAACCAGATAAATCTTAGCTCTATCACCATCTAGCTCTGTAGTCTTGAACAAGTCACTGAATACCACTTTCCTTAGAGGCTTCCTTTGGTTTTGTGAGGATTAATATAAAGCAATATCTCATGCTTTTACAAATACTGGTATATCTCAATTTTTACAACAATCATGTAAGACAGGTAGGATATAATATCCTCATACCATTGATTAGGAATATCAACTCCTAGGTTACATACATGATTTCCTCCAAACTACATGGTTCATGGAAGGGGAATCAGGAGTTGAAGAAAGGTTTTCAAACTCTTGGTTTACCACTCTCTTTACATCATGACCCAACTACCTCTTGTAAAGGCTGAAGAGGATAATAAATTAAAAGAGTCTTAAATGTTCAAGGACCACAAATATTAATAGTGTCTTTAAAGGGAAATGGAAGAAAATCCTGATCAAAACTAGTAAGGCTCCCTTCTTGTATAACTACCCAAACAGGTTTAATATGTTAGCTCTGAGAATAATTTATAAAGATATTTAGTAGGTCTCAAGGCATCGTTTATACTAAGGGAAAAGAAACCATTTTGAGAATCTTTTTTCCTTGGCATAGTTGGGGATATTAGAAAACAGAAAAGATTTTAAAATGTAGGAATTATTGTAAATCATATTCCATAACACCTGTGTGTAAAAGGAGAGAAATGATAGTACAACAAATTAAACCTATGATAGCAGGAATGTCACAAAATTAAATTTGTAATACTTTTCAGGTTAGTAGAATAGAGCTTTGTAAAAAAAAAAATAGTAGAGATAAACGTTTGCTTTTCTTCTGCTGCCAACCACATACAATTTTTCATGAAAATCAAATCAACAGGGTAGGGAGATTATTTGTATTCTTAAGAACCCAATTCCCTGATTTGCTTAAAGCTCATTTAAAAATGATTTTGTTTTAAATTTCAAATGCAAGTTACAATAATTAGTTTTCCAAAATTAAACCTCTGTTATATCTTCTATTAGTGAATATGACCTACATTCTTCTAAGTGGGAGGAGACAGAAGGTGCAAAACCACTTATGGACAAAGTGCCAAGCAAACAACATTTCAAGATATCTCTATCCTCATATATTACATATATACCAAATCTTTAGAAGTAAAATAGAAATAAAGTACCTTGGAAATCCTCAGAATTAGGTAACTTGACACCGCATACAAAATAATCCTTATGCTCATTCTGTGAATTTAACCAAAAAATGAAATTAATTTTTTTATATATAAAGCAAAGAAATTTTAGCAGGTCACAGTTGACTTAGATATAATGCAGTCTTAGACTCTAAATATTATTATATTTGTTAAAACAGGGTGATGAGACATGATGATTCAATATTCTATCTTCCTGTAGTTATACATACTTAAAATTTTCTGTAATAAAAATGTTTAAGACATCATGTCTAGGGAAAACCATGAAATATTATTATCATAAAAATATTTCTAATTGATTCTTATCTATAAATGATTTAACAAGATTCTGTGAGCAAGTTCAAATCCTGTTTGTCGTTTTCTCTGAAAATTAGTCTTTTACATCAATTTTCATTGAAAACTATCAAATCTAAAGGATTCGGTTTTACAAAAAAGGAATCTGGGGCTGGGGTTGTGGCTCAGCAGTGGAGTGCTCGCTCAACACATGTAAGGAGCTGGGTTCGACCCTCAGCACAACTTATCTAATTAGTTTTAGATAAGTTTTACTTTTTATATTTATTTTAAGAAGCTAATTAAAAATGTAACATCCAGACAGTCACCCTAGGAATATCTTAATGAACACCAATAAATATAAATGAATTAGCAATTATATTTTTGAGGCACTGTACATGCATCTGCAGGTAGATATCAGAAATGGTAGTAGTGGATAATCTTCTTAACTAAAAAGAGTATAAAGATACAAAAGGCATTTTTCTATGATGAATCTCATCTCACAACCAAAATGATATTTTAAAAAAATTAAGCAGCGGATGCTAATGCCAACTAAGTATTAATTTACATTTAAAACAGATACTAGCTCCTGAATGAGCCATAAGGGAGCATATGGGATTAAGACTAATGAGCTTTACATTGAGAGTAAACTTCAAATGGAGAGCATCTTTTCAAAAAGATAAATCTTTTCAGAAAATATGAAACTTACCAAATCAATAGGGTAAATGTAGGAAAGCTCAGAAAGTAACTGCCTACAACGAATTGTCAACTGAGCATTAGTCTTCAGAAAGAGTTCTCTAATGAGGAAAGAAAACAAGTACTTATTAGAAAATATGATTGCATTCACAACAGACAAGTTACAGAACCAACCCAGGTGTCCGTCAATAGATGAAAGGATAAAGAAAATGTGGGAATATATAACACAATGGAGTTTATTCGTCTTAAAGAGGAGGAGGAAGAGGAGAATGAAGTTATATGCAGCAAAACAGATGAATCTAATGAGCATCATGTTGAGCAAAATAAACTAGGCTCATGTTTTCTCTTGTATGTGTAGGCTAGAGAGAAAAAAAGGGATTTCAAAAAGAGAATGGAGACCATGAAGATAGAGAAAGAGAATTAGGAGGAGGTTGGAGGGGAGGGCAAGGAGAGGGACTGGCAAATGAAATTACTCAAATTACATTATGTGCATTTACCAATATATCACAATAAAATATACTATTCTGTATAATATGTACCAATAACATTAAAAAAACATGTATGCATGCTTTTTTAACATTTATTCTATGTAATTAATGCAGAAAAAGATTAAATGGTCTATAGGCCACAGAAAATTAAAAAGTAGAGGTACAAATTATACCCATGAGCCCTGAACTCTCTCTAATATCAATTAAGCTAACTACAAAATGAGGGCTATAGTGTATGCCCAGCACCATGCTAAGGAATGTAAAGTGCACAAATAACAATTCACTGAGTACCTAGAGCTTCACAAATGGCTTTATTTAATTATTTCAACAACTTTAGTAGGTTGATATTATGATGCCCATTTATAAATAAGGAAACAAAGTTTGAAGGGGCTGAGTAAACTGAGCAAGGTTTTGTAGACATTATTAATGAGGCCAATTGATTTCAGGAAAGATCCATATGGTGCTTCTCAGAAAACAAATAACAACAAGAACAAAAACTATTCTTCACCCTATTACAATGTTAGAAAAGTAACAAAGAACAAATAAGCAAACAGCTGTAGCATGAAATGACCCAGCTCTTTTCTTTAACTAAGAAATATGACCAGCAGGGCTGGGGAGGTAGTTCAATGCTAGAGTGCTTGCATGTAGGAGACCTTGGAATCCATCTCCAGCAAAAAACACACACACATGCACATACACACACACAAATATGACCAAATACTCATAGAATAAATTACCTGCTCAATTAAAAGACATCAAAAATTTAAGAACCAAAATAATGTAGAAGAAACTATAGGTCAAAGTGAAATGGAAAAGGTATAGAATGGAAAAGGCGAGGAACACTTTGATATAGTATGAAATACATATGGCCTTTGTTCTAGGTCCCAATCACAGAACACCTAAAACCCTAGGAATTTCCTAAGTGATAAGAGTATTGTTTTGTTATTCATTTAAGCCCACACTGATCATACCTAAGCTTATGACAATGAGGTGACTTATGGTGGGAGGCATCTAGACAACTTAAGGATAGAAATGGTCACTAAAAAGACCAATTAATTAGGGGGCTGGCATTTTCAGTTCTACCCACCAATCTCTTAAGATGATGATGATGGAGATCACGGCTGGAAATTAAGTGCTTTAAAACTTTTGAGCAAGATATGATAAGCTTCTAAATTGTGGAGGTGCCCTGAGGAATGGCATACCAGAGTAGGCATAGAACTTCCCTCATACTTTGCCCAATGCCTCTCTCCTATCTGCCTGTTCATTTGTATCATTTGTAATAACCTTTATAACAAATCAGTAAACCCAAGTGTTTCCTTGAGTTCTGTGAGCCACTCTAGTAAATTACAAATTAATCAAACCAGAGGAGGGGTCTGTGGGAACCCAGTTAATTCAGAAGCACAGGTCACAGTCTGGGTCTTGTGATTAGTATCTAATTGTGGGGTGGGGTGGGGGTCTTAGGAACTGAGTATAGATAATTACATCTTCAGGCAGATAGTGAATGGTATTAATCATAGGATACCTGTTGGCATTTGCTGGAGAATCTGGCATTAAATGTTATATGTGAGAGTAGGAAAAGAACTGTTTCTTCTCTTATATAAACAGCACTGAAGATGTAATGGGCCCTAGTTCTGGCTTTGCTAGTGAGCTGGACAGCTCAGTACCCAGAGTTGCTTTCTTCTCTGCAAATTTGAGGATTAGGATAGATGGTCTCTATGTTTCTTTCTTGTCTTAATATTCTTGAATATTTAGTTGTTAAGGTTTTTCAGAGAAAAGTGCAGGATGGAAAGACTCCAGGAAAGTGAATCAAGATGAATAAAGGAAGTGAGGTGGCAATAAATTAATCATGAAATATGTTGGGAAAAATTATTAGCATCTTTCTATGTTAGGGAGCACCTAAAATTAACTGTAGTTGTATAATGACAAGTGACTGAAGCCTATGTGAAAATTGAGGAAAAGATTCACCATAGAAAGAAGAAAAAAATATGTTAAAAATATTATTTTAAGAAGAGAAGTCTGAGAGCATCATGGAGGGATGACTATAAAGGTAGAGAAATCGAGGGTAGAGAAATTTTCTAAGTGCTGCTGAGGTAAACCAAATGAGTTATCAAGAAGCAGGAGTGGGACAGAAGAAACTATTAAAGTAAAAAAACTACAAGCTAAGCTGTATATAGATGACAGGAAGAAGATTCAAACATTATGCCATGTGGCCCAGGGAATTTAGAACAGTGTCATATCTCTGATAAACTCAACCATCATAGCAATTTTTCTCAGTGTTGAATTTACCTTTTTGCAGTGCACTCTTTCCTCAACTCATTTAGGGATTCCTTCTGGAGCTGAAGCTTGAGGTGCTCAGTTGAAAATGCACTTCCTAGAAAGAGAGATGAAGGGAGACAAGTCCAGATATAACACTGCAGATAGGACTATGCAACCACAACCACACAGGTAGAGTCCAGTCCCCTGTCAGTGACAGCGAAATAAAAAGAATAAGAAGGCAAAGCAGGTTGGGCATAGACATCTGCAATTTTCACCTAAGTCCAGCCCCTAGCAAGAACCTAGCAGGGGGTCTAAAAATCTCTATCCATAATTTCTGGACTGATGAACAAGAAACTTGGATAAGATCTCAAAATTCAGGCTTCACTTAAAAAGAGAGTGGTTAATTTCTTTTCAGCCATAAATACTATATAAGAACATTACTGAAAATACAAAATATAGAACAGGAAAAATTACTTGCATTTTAATTACTATAATATAGTTCATAAATATTAGTAGTTTCCATGAACTTTCATCTTGCTTTTAATACAAATAGTTTTAGTGAGAATCACAGGCTATAGGAAATATGTGTTCTGAATTTTTCAATATTATGTCATGAGCATTCTTACATGTTGACAGACAGTCCAAAGTCATGCCTATATAAAATTTAACTTCATAGATGTGAATTATAGGAAGATTCCACATTTCATCTGCTACCTTCATATCCCAATCCCATTACAGAATATTTAATTGCCTTTAAGTCTTTGCTTTAGATTTTTAATGATTAATATTTGTGTTTATATCCCGGAATGTTGTGTTTATATCAGTTTTTGGAACCTCCATTTTTGTAATCATAACATCCTTTTATATCTTTCTACTCTGAAAAAATGAGGGTTTCTTACATTCTTGACAGTCTAGAGTTATTACAAATTAGGAGGTCCTCAAGCACAGAGAAACACACTTAGATCTTAACACAATACGTTTTATATTTTACAAAGGAGTTTAATTTTGTGAACTGTGACCCAATAAGAAAAAGATCCTCAACTCTCTGCACACCTCCTATTTTTACAGAGAAAAAAGAAAATTGGATAATTGACCAAAATACACAGTTTGGACCTATTATAGTTTGAATGTGAGGTTTCCCCCAAAAGCACATTTGTGAGATAATGCAAAAAGTTCAGAGGAGAAATGATTGGGTTGTAACAGCCTTAATCCAATTACTGAATTAATCCCCTGATATGGATTAACTGAGTGGAAACAGAAGGCAGGCAGGGTGGCTAGAGGAGGTGGGCATTGGAGGCGTGACTTTGGGGTATATACTTTGAATCTGCCAAGTGGAGTCTCTCTCTGATTTCTGATCATCATGTGAGCTGCTTCCCTCCACTACACTCTTCCACCATGAAGTTCTGCCTCACCTCAAGCCCTGAGGAATGGAGCCTGCTGTCTGTGGATTGAGACCTCTGAAATGGTGAGCCCCCAAATAAACTTTTCTTCCTCTACAATTACTCTGGTCAGGTCATTTAGTCACAGCAGCAAAAAAGCTGACTAAAACAGAACCTTAACACTAAATCCACCAACTTAAGCAGTTGTATCACATTTCTAAACACTCTTCTCATTTCTCAACTTTAAAGTTTAGTAAATAGAAAACTGCCCCTGAACACAACTTAATCAAGGACCGCCACTTATCTTCTTTAGCCCTTACTATAATCCCTCCTAGACCTTTACCGTAATGACTTTGTAAGCATTTAAGTTGATACCCACACCTATATACTTTCAACAGAGAAGTTTGTGAATTCTTCCACCAGTATAAATATCTGCAGTATTACCCTTCATCCCAATACATTAGGCTGCCTCAACTCTAACAGTGGTAGCAAAACCACAAATAGGGATCCAAGAGAGAATGGGCTTCAAAATACATATACATGTATTTTGCTCAATTTTGAAAATGGTTTAGAGTATATAATTACATGACTAAAGGGTAAAATCCTTGCAAATGTGGTAGAAAAGAAAATTAAATATAATTTCTAAGTAGCTAACAGGTTAATATGTAAACAAAAGATAAATGTGGATGAAAACTATAGGTGTTCTCTGTATTCTTTTTCTTGTAAATTTTCTGTAAGTCTGAAATGATTTTCAAATAAAAAGAGCAGATCCAAATCCAGAAAAGGGTCACTGGAGAGGCTATAATTTTCCATAGGCTTCATCAGATTCAAGGACTTAGAAATCACACTGGTATCCATCCCTCCAACACATATCAAGTTCACTTTTCTGTTTAAAGGAATACAGTTCACTGATTATAGGTTGAGTTCTGTAATAAAACTGAATAAGTTGGGGTTAGGCTCAGGCAGATAAAAACTAAATATATGAAGATACCTCAGAAAACTCAACTTAAATTCTAAAAGGAATAATACTAGCGTGGAAATGATGTCTCAATGGAGGGTGTTTGATATTGTGTCCTTCTAAGATGTCACAGCTGGAAGTAATGATGTTAAAGTGGGTTCTATCCCCAGCATCACTACCAAAAAAAAAAAAAAGTGAATCTAAATACACACACACACACACACACACACACACCTCTTGCTTCTCATCTAAATTTCTTCCTAGATTTAGCATTTATCTGTGATTTTTGCTGGAATCAATCTTTCCTACACAGTTGCAAAATAATGCCCAACTCCAGTACAACCTCCATATTTATTAGTTGCACTCAGCTTTCTTCTCTAAGTAAGAGTCCTTCTACCTTTTCCCTTAACTATTACCAGTGATGAATCATGGATTCTTTATTTTTTTCAATGATTTATAATTCATTATTATATATAATTATTTTATATATAGTAAATATATAGGCTCCAGTGTCCTTGTGACATGTTACCATATTGTTATTTGAAATAACAACTTTATTAACATCTTACTTTCTGTAGAATCTGTAATGATTCTCCCTACCATTCCTGATATTGGTAATTTGTGCTGGCTTTCTTTCAACTTGTTCAGTCTGACTATAGGTTATTTTAATAATCTTTTCAAACAACTATCTTTTGGTTTTATTGATATCCTCTACTCCTTCTGTTCTCAATTTCAGAGAATTCTATCCTTCATTTTTTCCCTTCATTCTGATTTATTTTCTAGTTTTAAGTTATTGATTATTGATTAAAGATCTTTCTTTCCTAATGCAAGTTTCAAATGTTTAGCTTTCCTCTAAGCTTGCATCCCTTCACATGTTCATATGTGACAGTTTCATGAGTTAATATGGTATGTTGGGTAATTTCTAAGTATTTGAAATTTGCTAGATATCTTTGAATTAGTGACTTCTAGCTTATTTCTGTTCTGGTGAGAGAATATGCTTTGTATGATTTCAATTATTTTGTATTTGTTAACAAGTTCTATGATACCAAATATGGTCTAAAAGAATGTTCCAAGTATACTTGAGAAAAAAAAGTATATTCTGGTACAGTTCAGGGGAGTGGTAATTTGAGAGTGTTTTTGAAGTCTTATATTCTTGGTGGTTTTCTATCTGTTCTATCAATTACTGAGAGATGGGTATTAAAGTTTCTAATTATAATTATGCATTTGGCTATTTTTCAACTAACCACAAGAAGTTTTTATCTGTTCTCGGGCCTGCAGAGTTTGAAGCTCTTCTCCCAGAATTTTAATGCTTTTGTTCTTAGAGAAAGACTATGCTTTTCCTGCAATAGTATTTGCTCCTCTTTTCCAGATGTAAACCTTGGATTAACTGCTCTGCCTATAACCTTCCTTCTGAATATGGAATGGAGGACCATGCAGAAGTTGTGTAGCAAGTGTGAACTGCCTTGTAATTGCTAGGGTTTCATACTAGCCCACATTTGACCATAACTATTTGTTAAAAGCTTTAGTTGAATTATTTTACCTTCTTATTCAGTGGTCCTAACTTCTTCCAGTGCTCTCCGTTCGTGATCAGTACTCATATCCTTTCTCACTGGAGATGCGTGTCTTTCCTTACACATTGGGCTATGTGGCTGCCCTGAGACCCATTTCTCGGATAGTTTCATGAAAAGTTATGACCTTATACAGTTTCCTATGTCTCAGGAAGACGCTGGAAGTCAATTCTAAGAATACTAACTTTTTAGAAGCTCTTCTTTGTTCTTTTTATTTTTAATTTTTTTGTTCCTTTTGAGTCAAGCTACTCTATTTTTTCAACTTCATCCCATTCATGCTGTTTTTTCTTCAATTATCTGATGACCCTTGTCTCTCCCTTCAAATTCATGAATGAATGATTAGATAGTTTCAGTATAGACAACTGTTATAGTTTCTTTGAAGCTGATAATCAGGCTTCCTTTTAGGATATATGTGTTGAGAGAAGGTAGTACCTTTATTTTAAACTGAATATCAAATAAAGAGAATTTTGCTTTGTGGTTGTATTATTTTAGGGTATTTCACTCCCTAAGTAGAGCTAACTTTTATGTCTTTCTCTAGGTCGGTAATAAAAGTTCACAGTCACTTTAGGATCTGCTCTACCATTCTACCATTCCAAACACTTAGACCATGGGGCCTAACCACGTTAAGAATCAATTATGTTTACAAATCAGCTAAAGCTTGTTGTTATAGGGAATTACTCCAGATACAGAGGAGAAAGAGAATGGCCCAACAAGTCCAATACTCTGATCACTGCCATAGTTAGTTCCTGATCTCTACCCTTGAAAATTCTAAGCTTGAAATCTCTGAGTGCTCTCCATGTCAGGAACTCTCACTGTAGCTTTTTCCATTTCTGTTCTGGCTGCATTTTTCTCTACTCTAGTTTATTCCTCCACAGTCCTATCTACTTTATAACTTAGAGAACTGTGTCAAAATCTTTGTGAGTCTGATGGTACTGTCTTGGTTTCACCATCACTATTGATTTATCCTTTATGCATGTTATCTTTATTGTATCAATGGGTCTTTGGGAGAGAAAAACAGTGAATGAATGTGCCTGGCTCATCATCTTCCAAAACTGCTTTCTGAAATTCTTGTCCCTGCCCAAGCATACACCAATGTTTCTCTCTGCTAAGAAAGATGGCCTATTTATTTAGCAGGAACACAAGTCAGATGTTATAATTTTAATAAGCCAATGTCAGCATTGGCTCCTGTAAATCTAATCACCAAGAACAT